TGTATCCTAGAATTTCAGTTAATCATTGAATATAAAGTAATTACCTTCCTGTGCCAGTTTTTTTGAATTTCTTGAACTCAAAAAGAAAGAGTCACTGGTACCAATGGTCATCTGGAACAACTTTTTCGCCAACTTGCTGTAATTTGTTGGAATAGTTATTCCATCGCGCACATGTGACAATGGCCGTGCATGTGTACCGTGTATGTGTACCGCCCAAAAACGAATAAATACCAACTTGAAACCACGTATGGTAGAATATATTCCATTCTTTTTTTGTTCTTTATTTGGAAGTTGTTTTCGAAAAAAAGATTATGAAAGACCGAATTCCCCCTTCTGGGTAGTTGGGGTGGAAAGTATCCCTGGCAGGAAACATGGTGTGATATTGTTGTACTTTTGCATTTCTGGAGTACTCGAGACCAACGTGGTATAAAAATGATTCCAAAAACCTATTCCACCTTAATAATTGTGCGTTGAATGGATTCTAATGTTGCACTGAGTAAAAGATTCGCTTTACATGCATCACCTCATATGATATTGTCTTCCGTTTCTCCAGTTCATTGATCCATTTAACAATTTCTTGGCGAACCTATTTTCTGTGGGAAAAAAATTAGCGTCAGAAATGCTGCAAAACTATCATAACTACTTCCTCTTTTATCATCAACAAGTGCCACTTGGCATGAAGAAAGCTGATGGAAGATGCTATTTTGCTTGAAAATTTGGAAACTCCATGTCGAGCTAAACCAGACAGGATTTCAAGTAAAGCAGCTGAACAAAAACTCTTTCATGTACTATGTTACGTCCGTAAAAGAAATCCAATGGCTTTAATTCACTCATCCTCGTCGGAGAAATTCGAAAAAATTTAGCTGCAATACCACGAAGTCTCAAGTTTTCTGAGGCACAATTGACAAATAATATCTATAGCAATCCATATTCAAGGTGTACCATAATACGTGTTTTTATTGATTCGAGAGGGTTCAGCAGTGACTTCGTATATGCCCTTTTCGCCCTAGTGGTTCCATTAGCACAGTCGAATGGAAAAAATAAAGGTTTCCCTATTATTTATTCATTATGTGAGCAGAAGCAATTCTTGACATCCGAATCCAAGTCGGTCCATTTACATAAAACAATCAATACGAAAGTTCTTTTATCTCGCGACAGTGGACAAAAATGACTCAGATAATGATGTTCCCATCCTGTCGGGAATCACCTCAAGTATCGTGTTGCACCCTATGAATAGTATGTGGGGAAAACGTTTAAAGGGTTTCACTGGGGGTCTTCATGCTCGACGTCTTGACATGTTTTCCTCCTCACCCTAATTTGAATAACATTCTGATGGATAAGAGAAAGACGCTGTCTCGAGCCTAAAGACAAAAAAAAACGAGGCCACGCCCACCAGGATAATGACGTCCACGGTGTCAACATGGTCCCAAGGATGTCAAGCTGGCATTATGACAACATGTTTTCCACCACCGGTCGTTAACACGACATGTTAATGACCAGTAGTGGAAAATGAGTTTTCTGAAATTTTCTGATGAAGGAACTTACGTGTATTGCGATTGCTAGTTCAATTCATCCCCAAAGTGTAACTGTCAGTTCGAAATTGAATTTTGAAGGATAAAGACATCGACCCTGCCATGTCGCTTTATTCATTGACATAAGGCGCCACAGGGTTTTAAAGATCGGAAGTCGCATCACCACCCCCGAGTGCAAATGCCTCACCCTCTTCCCAAGAAGAAATGAGCTTTTTCCAAGCGGCACGCGCTCTTCCGCATCGCCTTGCAGGCGATACATGCATTCCCTTGTGAATTCCATTCGAGGTCGACCTCCATTCTCGCCACTGTTGTTCCATTCGCACCCTTTGGAGTTACAGTCTCGCATTTAATGAGTGATTCTATTTTTCCCCTTCAGAAAGCACACATCAAACCAGATCTGTATTATTCCCCAATCGATCATACTTCCTATTCTAATTATGTGCAGTCGATTCGTTCCATATGCCATTATTTTAATTCTACATCTATGTAAATGTTCCCTAACGACCTATTTCTGAACCTTGTTACTTCATAGGGTATCGATATAGGTATTTCTAGGGAATATTTCCCTTCCTCCGTTGCGTCCCCTGTGTGCCTTGTACATGCCCCAACCCTCATGGTCTCATCTCCTCAAGAAAATCCTCCTCATCCTCCTCGAGAAAACAGACGCCATTGGAGAAAGGTTCGGGCTGAGTTCTTCCCATGGAAACCCATTTCCGAACATGTTTCAAGTTGGCGTCGTGGGTTTGTCTTGAAACCTGAATCCATCCTCTTCCTCCCTTAGGGCCAGTATTGCCAAACGTCTCCCTGGGCTGTCTTTCATTGAAACCGGAGGACCGGAGGTTAAACAAATAGCGTGCGCGATCCAGACCGCTATCTGGGCCGAGCGACATTCGTGTCTTTGTGTGTGACAACTCTGCCGGCCAAACGCTTCGAGATATGAACTTGGGGCTTCCATAGAACCCTTCCTTATCATCCGAGGATGTGCCTTTTTCAAATGACATTTCCAATCTTGCTCGGGTTGGAAGGTACGCTCCACGTAGTTTCCTTTTTTTTAAACTATAACCTCATTAATATTTTTTTTCCTCCCCATGCGGCACCATGCTCCTTTGGCGAGCTGAGCTGCCAAGTGGAGTGATCGGCGAAATGAGCTTTAACGAATGGCTTCGGCGTACTCAGTGTTTCTTTGCCTTTTCGGCTCTAGGATTCTACCGAATTCTTTCTTTTTTCCGCCTTTGTTGACACAATGTTCCATTCGCATGATCCGTGGACAATGATAATCACGGGTGAAATGAGACCTGAATGCCTCATACGTATAACATTGCTCACGTAGTTGATAAACGCTCTCGAAGATGTTCAACATCTTTTCAAAGAGATCTTCGAAAGTCCAATGTCCACGAATGAACAATGAACACGAATGGCGCTTAGTTCGGTTGTAGTTTGATCACGAAACAAGTTGCTTTCGAAGGACCTTCGTTGAACGTTAGATATATGTTTTCCTCCAACAAATCACTGGAGTCCATTTGATGATGGCTCGAAGCAAAGATTTGTTAGAAGATCCTAAATTAGTCACTATGGCGGGCCGATTCCTGGCACATCTGGAATTCGTCTCCGATACCAATAGTCGATCTTTCTCCACGTGAACCAAAGGGAAAAAAGAAAGTGGAATTCCTGAAGAAATCGGCCCTGAGAGGTGACGCAGCCCAAGGAGTCTCCAGAGAGCCCAGGCTCGGAACAAAGAGAACGGTTCAATTTCCAAGGTCACTTCGTAGGAAAGGAATGAAACGAAAAAAATGTGAAAAAGCATATCGTCGCTCGCATGAAAAAGGGATTCAGTTAGTGGCGTGTTTAACCCCTGAATATAAGATAATTGCAGATGAGATGAATTTTTCCGTCGATTGATTGCATTTTCCCTATGCACCTTGCCACGGGAAAATGGCTTTTTCTTGGATTAAATGCAATTTAAGCGGTGAAAAAGAGCAATTCAAGACGTTAATTGCTTATTGGACGAATCACGTGAAGAAATATCAGATGAACCCTTTTCTTGGAAATGTCCAATTCACGTCTTTGATAGATTCCCGTAGATTGGGAACGCATAATTTGAACCGATTATCATCGCTCTAAATGTCGGATATTCAAGCAGTGAACGGAACGTTCCCAGGAACGCTCACGGAACGCTAGCAATGACTGAAAAGAAATGTAGTCTCCGAAGATCATGGTGACTCCTTCCGCATTTCGTTTCTTCCGGTTTCCAAAGTCAATAGCTAGAGGTCGACTCGAGCCTGAAATTCCCATTCCAACGAGAAAGGTTCTGCGCTCAAACACGATGAATCGCAAAGAATCTTTGGACGAGAATAATCGGGAAAAATGAAATTCCATAATCGATCCCGAACGACAGCGGTGTCGAGGCGGCGATTCGCTTATAATTCATGGGTTTGCCTGTCCATCATGGCATCGGTTCGGAGTTCGTCGGTTTCATTCTCGTTTGTCGATAAGAAATTACGGTTGCTGGAGGGCGGCAAAATTACTTTAAGAATTTTCTGCGGACTCCTTTCTGACCCTGCAAGATATACCACGCATGCTCCTCAAAACTGCCAGCTCAAGGCGTCTTGCCCTCACGTATGCATGTAACATTTCGTTAAAAGTAACTTTTTCGATAACGAATGTGCTTGAATACTGCATAATGCATAATAGTTTCATGATAGGACCTTCATTTTTCACCTCGTTCTTCATGCAAATTTCTTTCCACTCTCTCTGTAAGTTCTAGGACGTGCACGAGCGAGAATCCACTCGTTCTTCAAATCCGCATTGCTCGTCGCACGGGCTCGGAACCCCTGGGTCCCGCCGCCTTTCGCCTCCCTTTTCGACCCGAAACTTGTTAGAACCACTTCGGAAATATGGGCTTCTTTATTACCCCGTCGTCATCGATTCGAAACCACTTTGAGGCGGTATCTGTATTACGTCTTATATATATAAGTATAACTGCATTGTGAAACTTGCAAATTCTACACGTGATATCAGACTATCACAAGGCATTGAGAAACTGATGCAGTTAACAAGAAGTTTAGCAGTTCCATGCGGACGAGTAAATAGGACACTGCAGACATTTTACAATGAAAGTTAACATAGTCGCGAGATATTTTTACCTGTTGAAGTTGTCTCAAAGGTTGAGGTGTCCTTCGCAGCAGAAAGGAAATTTGAACGTTTTCATCGAAATGCCACGAAGCAAATCCGGTCACGATGACGTCCCACGCCGAGGTAATTTAAATGCCACATTTCAGTTAAGCTTACAAACCCGCTCCCCCCAGGGAGACGGTTAACAATATGTTACTCCATAACGTTATCAAAGTATGGCAAACAAGCGTTGAAAAAAAAAATGCATATCATTGCTATTTTTCCAGTCATTTCGAGAAAACCTAAACACGGTAGGATGCGTCACGGGTTTCCATAATAATTTAAAATAAAATAAAACTATTTCACGCCAGGGAAAGAAAAGTCATAGCGGCGGATTCGATCGGGTGGGAGCCAATCTCGAATCCGATTCTTGTCGACGTGGAGTCGGGATAGGGATGGAGGCAGCCTCCGAAGCCTTCCAGGCAACCGATCGCAGATCTTGAAGTAGGCATTTCCATCGAGAAGTTCGACGACCAGGAGCAGCTCGGATTCAACATTTATTGCGCAATGTCCGACAACCAAGTGTGCATCCATGGAGGTGCGTGCGCCCAGACGGCGGCATTCCTACTGTCGCAAAATATATGTCGTCTTAATCGAATAGCAATTTTCGATCTTATTTACGCGTAATATCTGGAACATCGAGATCCGAGGAGAATTAGGAAATCCGATTCGCCCAGAGGGATCTGGGGGACACATAATTATTCCCTCATTGAGTATAACGATCTACGACTTTTGGTGGAATTAAGGTCTCACGGATGGAGTGTGAAATTCCACTCATCGACATTACTTAAGTTGATTAATAAACTTTTGGAAATATATAGTGTGAAACTTCCTTGCATTCTCGTCCAATTTGCGAAGTGCTACAGAAATTCTCTGGAAGTCATGCAAGTCAGTTTTTTTTCCTGATACTGGGAATTCCACCGTCTGCCAATGTTTTCCTTGCAATGACGACAATGAAATGCCACGAAAGAGGTTCGTGCGAGGTCAGGACGACGCGATTGCTGCAAATCGCTAGGCATTAATCTCGCGAAGCTTGCGTTTCCGATACTGAAGCCCCATGTTATGGATGTATGGATGGAAGATGGCGTTCCACCTGATTTTAGCCTTTAAGGTGATTTCATGGTCATCACGAAGCTACAGGGAAAGGTTGACTAGGAAATCAAATCACCATTTGGAAAATATTTTGGGGGGGTGAAAGGGAGGGATGTGAAAGACGCGGGTACACTCGCCTTTTATGGCACAATGGGCCAGGGGCGAGGTGGGAGATGGAGGCAGACGCGGGAGGGAGAGGGAGGGAAGGTGGTGGGAGATGGAGGCAGACGCGGGAGGGAGAGGGAGGGAAGGGTTGGGAACAGGATGTGGGGAGAAGTACCCATTGCCTTTCTTTTTTCACCGATATTACAATTAGTGATCCTTTGCCTTCGTTGATATGGTTAAGCTTGTGCAGTGTGTTACTGCAAGGAATGCTGTGATACCCCACATAGATTCAGCAAAGCTGAAAAAAGTTATGTGAATATGAGAACCGTGAAGACGAAAGAAAGAGGGAGAGAGAGGGGGAAGGCAAGAGAGGGAGAGAGGGAGAGAGATACGAGTCGGTGGGCCACTTCCCCACTTTCCCCCACTTTTGAATCTGTCGCCTCTGACATCACGGTCGGCTTTTCAAGAATCGGGTAGAGTCTTCTGGTTTTTCTCCATGTACCTCTGCAAATAATTTTCCACGTTACAAATCGGGACTAGAACTTCGGAGGGGAAGTTCATTCCCGATCGTGGTTTTTTCCAACAGGAAATTATATGCGTACCATGAGGTTGGGGCTCATGTAGTACGGTCTCTCCTCGCTTCCGTCGTTCCTCTCGCAATCCTCACAGAAGCATAGAAACAGCGTGTCCACCACCATCTGAATGGGAAACGAAAGGTGAAGGCCGGATGCATGGAAGACGCCGAGGAACGGCGAGACCTACCTCGTAGATGCTGACGAATGCGTGGGCGATCAGGAAGGCGATCGCTCCGCCGATCGCTATCGGGATCCAGAAATACACCACGTCTGCCGCAAATCTCTGCAAACGCCAGGAATTTTCCTTCGGGCTAGAAAATTTCCCCCGTTCGTTCTTCGCAACCGGGACTCGAACTCACTTTGCCGATTTCCATGCCCGAGAAAACCGTACAAGTGACGATTGCCACTTTGATGAGAAAGAGAAGAAAATCCCCGATGAAAGTGACGGCCGCCAACCGCAGAGCGTTGCTCGCCAGAGTTCGAAAAGCGTCTCGAGCCGCATTGCAAAACGATTCCCCATAGATGGCTGAATCGAAATTCACAAAGTCAGCCGACCCCAAAAAAAAAAGTGAACGGATTGCCACCGACAACCGACGCACCGATCTCGATGTACGCGTTCCTGTTGAGAAACTTGAGGAAGCGATGAAAGCAAGCGGCGACGCAGCTGCAGCACCTCAGAGCCTCCGACCTCGGAAGGACCCGAGTCAGCACGATCCTGACGAGCGAGAACGCGGCGATGATGGCGCTGCCGAACGCCGCCGAGCCCAAGTGGTACCTCGCCAACCGCCTCATGCTCGACAGCACCGGGATCCCCATCCCTTCCGACTTGTCCCTGACGAAAAATGTGATTATTGGTGAGATGTGGTGAACCTTCGGAGGCAAGCCAACCGACTTGGGGCCGACCTCGTGAAGAACCACTTGGCGACGGCTCCAGCGATGGTGCAGTGCTGGCAGGCGATCAAGAATTGAGAAAACCAGAGGAACATGACGAAGAGGAAAACCTTCATCACCTGCGACGAAAATCATCATCACCGCTTCGAATCCACGATCGCGTCCACGATCGCGTCCCCCGCACGGAAAAAGGGCCGACCTGAAAGGCGACGTGCAGCTCGTACGTGACCTGGTCCGGCGCCTTCACGACCGGGAAGGACGCCGAGTGGAGAAGCAGGGTTCCGAGAATCCACAGAACCCCTCCGATCGCCACCGCCAAGAACGTCTTCTCGCGGTGAGAAAAGAAGGACCCGATGATCGACGACGACGAATCTAAATGAGACATTCCCCCCAACCCCTGCATCGTAAAAGTTCTGACCCAGAGAGGCTGAAAGAGGAGAGAGGGCATGGTCTGCAGGGTCTTCCCCCCTTCTTGAAACAGCGTCGCCGCCAGGGAGATCCGCTTCCGTAGGAAAATCACCACCAGGATGAGTATCACCTATCGAATGAGCAACATCTACAGTACCGGGAAGCGGGATTCCTGCCAAATTCTCGTATCTTTCTCCATTCTCGACCGAATTGCTAAACGCGAACTAAATAATGGTTTACGCTCTACGCTAAAAAAATCCTTCACCGCGTCATTCCTCGTCCTACTGAAACGAAACGAAGCCATTCAGCAAAAAAAGTCCAGTGACATGGTATTAACCTAAAAAAATGTCCTCATCATCATCAGTGCTCTCGTTCGTGTTCCGAAAGGTAAGAGGAATCAAGATTTGATAGGTCTTAGCTGGGAGGGTATGCAAATAACTGCCGGTACATCAAACTTCCCCCGGGTCTCTGACAGGTCACATGGAACAGTTAATGAACCAAACGGATGAATTAATGAACCAAAAAGGTTAATACAGGATCTTGCTGATCGGCTAGATTCTGAGCCAAGCAGTTCGAATAGTTTACGACAATAAAATATGGCCATGTTTAAATAAGTGCAACGATCGAATTGTCTGACCTTCAACTTTCAAACTTTATGAAGGATCCCCCCCCCCCCTGTTTTTCCTGTGTTCTAGGACCAAAACGAAACAATCCAGAGCATTTTTTCGCCGAAACATATATGAAATCAAACATTAAAGCTTCTGGATATAATTTTTCTAAAATACGGGAAGAAAGTGTAAAAAATTTCCACAAATTTGTAAGCTGAGGACTCGAACATTGTATTGTTGCACTCATCGCTGCACGTAATTAGTTGCTGGCCACGACCCTAACACCTCTCGATTCACAACGCAGCACACACAGCATGGGCCCCGTGCAAGCTCCCGCAGGCACGAAGGGATGTCGCATTCGCGGAAATGCGGGAGATGGCGAATGCCGGTGGCCGCATCCGATCGACCACCAAGCCCCTTCACCCTGGTGCCGTTATCGTTCTCGCTTAATATTACAGCTTTACGATGCAGCGTTTGCATAATGCGGGTATAACTGTCTCAACGAATGAAAACTTCATGATGGACTTCATGATTGATAACTTTATGCGCACACTGTATATTAGGGCACTTTCGAACACTCATATTGACTTCTTAGGCGCGAATTTTGCACATTTAGCACATGTTGCATGTTAAATGTTTAGGACTCATTGTCCCAAAAATCTCTCTCCTTCGTCATCACCCGACATTCTTCAAACAATTATCGTCAACCACGACACACGTGCAAAATCCCGTTCACCGTGTTCCCATCTCGCCCGAGCGACGAAAAGTCCCCGCGCGATTCGGCTCGCACGAACGGGAACGGGAACGGGAACGGGAACGACTGCGACCACGACGATGGAATTACCGTGACGACGCTGGTGGCGATGGCAGTTCCGAAGTAGAGTTGCAGCCGGGATTCGCTCACGTCCGCGGTCGTTTTCGTCGTCAGGGCGTTCTTGTCGTGAACCCACATGATCCTAGACAGACGAATCCGAAAGAATCGGTATTTTGTAATTTTTGATCCCTCCAGACTCGACTCGGCGACGAAATCTGACCAGAGATAGAAGGAGCCTCCGAGGCCAGCCGCCACGACGATCCCGATCGACAGCCACACGATCAAGTAGGTCAAGAAACGGATGAGGACGAGGATCACCATCGCCACCCCTATTTTTTTTCCCCCCCAAATAGCCACGAATAGCCTCCACCCTTCATCACGCCCTCATCGTCGAGAACAAAAGACGGAGAAGAGACATACCGAGAGCGATGAGGGCCATGAAGAGGATCACGATCCACATCTTCTCCAGGTCGCTTATCACTTGCTGCAATTCGGACATCCAAAATGTGGGACATTTTCTCATCGAAAATCCCTCATCCCAAAAATTTTCAGTTACCTCCACGAAGTTTTCCCCCAGATAATAAGAGACTCGGACGGAAGGATCCAATTTCAACGCCGACGATGCAGAAGAGACGTTGTACAGGCACTTGTTGATCAATTCCACGTCGCTGCGTGACAAAATATGGCGAATAAATCTTAGATTCGCATCTCCTTCGGTCGTCCCGCGATGCTCCACCTGTACCTAGCATACTCACTAGGGGGGTCGACAGGAATCCACGCATTTTCTGACGGAGCAAGGACCTTGCTTTTCCAAAGTCGCGTTTCCGAGAGAACACCGAGCCAACTTCCTGAAAGGATTAAACGATCACGACGATCGCAAACGGCAAGCGAAGAACGGCGAAGTCGAACGTTCTCGAGACCATACGGAAAGAGCGTGAGGTTCTTGCCGCTCTCCTTGACGCCCGCGACCCGATCGTTCACCTGCCCGCAGATGTCTCCGTAGCTGTCGTAGCCGTGAACGAGGAGGCCCAACTTCTGGTAGTAGCCTCCGAACCCGAGCGCCACGACCTGCGAGCGTGGAGGTCAGCCTCGCGATGCGAAAGGAGGTCAGCCTCGCGATGCGAAAGGAGGTCAGCCTCGCGATGCGAAAGGAGGTCCCCGATCCAAGCACTTACCGCGAGCGCAGCCAAGACGGCAAAGAGAAGGAGGCAAGGGACATCCCTGCAACTCCGTTCTCGCCTCGGGCCATCGTCCAGTTCTCCCGGCTCTCCTTTCTTCTCACCTGGACCCTGCAACAGACGGGTCGAAGCGATCAGAATTCGATCGCGTCTTTCCCTTTTTTGTTCCCCTATGAAAAAGAGCTTTATTCCTGCTTAAGCTCCCTAAGGAGATGGGAGAATATGCCCCAAGTTTATTCCAAACACAGTTTCGTTTTCTTTTGTAATGAAAATCCTTTCACTGACTCTCAATTCCAAGGAAATCCGATTCGTGCCTGTCAGCCTTTTCTCCGCTAATTCACTTTAATTATGCATTTTTAAAATGATTAATTGAATTACGGAACGCAGCAGCACGAACTCACCAGCTCCTGTTCGATCCTCGCATCCCCGCAGCATCCCATCCTGCAAGCGCAGCCTCGACGGAGAAGAACGCGGAGGAAAGACCTCCCTTTTCGGCGGTGGACGCGATGCAGGCGGGGAAAACATCGATCGCGGGAGGATGTTCCCTTTTACTCAAACACATCCTTCCCGCCGATGAATGCGTTGCATTGACATTGCGCATCATTTATGCATGGACATCTCGTTTGGATCGATCGGGCCGTGACGTCCGTTTATCGACGATTAATTTCTTTACCTCCGCCCCGAGTGTCTGTCCGGATCCCTGCATAATGCAGGATCGTCGCCATCGTATCGACACAAACGACATCCGGCAGGCTGAAGGTTCTAGAATCTTGAACGCAGCTGGCAAAAACCGTCAACATTTTCCTCCCCGAAAATTTTAGCTAGGAATCTGAATGTATTCTTTGAAATCCTTGAGTCGGCAGAAACTCTCTGCGGAAAATAAACATATCGCTCATAACTGACACAAATGAAGGAGCTTTGTCGCCTCCTTGCCCGAAAAGCACGCCCGTCAGCCTCGTTTAGTAGCAATCGGTTCCATAAATGACAAAAATTGTGCCTATTAGGCCATCGGCACTAAAGTATTTATGAGACGTGATGAGGCCTCCAACCGAGTGGTAGTTGAATGAGTTAGCAATTACGGAAGACCGCTTTTCTTATGAAAGCTCCTCAAGTAATTCCGATCGAACGAGGCAATTTATAAATCCCCCATCTGCTCAAAAAAAAAAGGTGAAAATCGTGTCTGGGTCTCCAAGCATTCATGATTCTTGGAGCATTCTTCATTTTACTTCCTTTGTAATCAGGGCGTTTTCCCCACATTGATCGTTCGCATATCTGATCGCTACCGCCAGACGATGACGTCAACATGTGCGATTTCTCGCGGAAAGGAACAAAGGCATCGAAGGAGATAAGAATCTCTTTCGCCACTTTCTTTGTCGGCACTTTTTTCCTCGGACCTCATCAGGAGAAGGTGCATCTTACCTTTGCATCTTCCTTTTTTAAGAAGTTAAGAAGGTGAGCCCAATATCGGGAAAAAAGCAACAACTCATGGATGAAGTCCAAGGCCATCCAGTATTTAAAAAAAAAGGGAACGAGAGCCCGAAAATGCAGGGAAAGAAAAGATAAGAATCCACCTGAAAATCGTTTGCAAGGAAATGCAATAGTTGCGGACAGTGATACTCAAAACAATATGAGAGACTTCCAATATTTCCGTATTTCCTTCTTCGATTTCCCCGAATCCACGCGTTGCCCCTCGAACCAAAGCAAAATGCGCTCCAAGGTAGTCAAATATTCGGTATGACGGTATTCAACGACGGTATTCAATGACGGTATTCAATGACGGTATTCAATGGCTCACTCGTATTTTAGGATGTCTGTTCATTATGCATATGCAGCCAAGCCTTCTTCATCCTGCAACAGACATTAATATACTTTATCCTGGCTGGGTACAACCGATGGTCTCCAGTGCACTGACCGAGTGGCGTCGATTTCACGAGAACAAACTTTCAGATGAAACGTTTCAGGAAGGGGCCCTTTCAAGAGAAGTACGATCGAAGACTAGCTCATGAAGTAAGTCCCTTGCAACTTGTCACCGGTAAACCTACCATTAAATCGGAATTATGTACATATTGCGCGTGATGCGGCTGCTTCTGATTCGCGCATAGACGATCTGGAAGCAATCTGAAAATCCTGACGTTGTGGCTCTCGATGACTCAGTAGAAGATGGAAGGTCCCGAGACTCACGGCTCGTGTCCAACCGATCGCAAACCCAGGTGCCTCTTTCGCCTGGTCGGTGCGGCCGAACCAAATGAATCCGGCTGGTGCCGCCTTGAAGATCGGATCGTAATAAGTCTGGCTGCTTGCGAGTGGAAGGCGACATTTTGCATCTTGACATCTTGGTGACATTTTGCATCTTGACCTCTTGGTGACATTTTGCATCTTGACCTCTTGGTGACATTTTGCATCTTGACCTCTTGGTGACATTTTGCATCTTGACCTCTTGGTGACATTTTGCATCTTGACGTCTTGGTGACATTTTGCATCTTGACGTCTTGGTGACATTTTGCATCTTGACGTCTTGGTGACATTTTGCATCTTGACGTCTTGGTAGCATTTTGCAACTCCATCGGCCCAGGAATACTTTCCGATATACTTGTAGTAGAATCCCGTCGTCGAATCCAACGTATAGCCCGGAGGAACGGATGTTGAAGCTACACCAACGTGAAATCCATCATTCATGACACTCATCGTAAGGAGAGACACATAATAAAAAGGGGAATAATATTGTCCTAAGATCCTCTTCCGCTCGATGGAAGCCGTTCGTGGCTCGTTTGACGAGGTAGGCAAACCCTCCTAACATTGTGACCATCTATGCGCGAACGTTGAAACTGCAATCATTTTGCCTGTCTCAGAGATTGCCGAATCGCGGGACCTCGGGAAGCCTCATTCAGAATGATCACGCTCGTCGAAAGTGAAGAATTGCTTTTCACGAAGGTTTCGGGTTTGGACTTGCATGGCGGGGTTTCGGTTGGATCCCAAGTCGAGTTGCACGTGGAAAGGCGGTCGTGGTCGGCAAGGCGGATTGCAAGGGATTATCCCTGCCTGGAATGAGATTTGCCCTCAATATAGAAACAATAGAAACAAAATGAAATTCTATCCTTCCCGCCGATGAATGCGTTGCATTGACATTGCGCATCATTTATGCATGGACATCTCGTTTGGATCGATCGGGCCGTGACGTCCGTTTATCGACGATTAATTTCTTTACCTCCGCCCCGAGTGTTTGTCCGGATCCCTGCATAATGCAGGATCGTCGCCATCGTATCGACACAAACGACATTGAGGTCAGGCTGAAGGTTTTCGAATCTTGAACGCAGCTGGCAAAAACCGTCCACATTTTCCTCCCCGAAATTTTAGCTAGGAATCTGAATGTATTCTTTGAAATCCTTGAGTCGGCAGAAACTCTCTGCGGAAAATAAACATATCGCTCATAAGTGACACAAATGAAGGAGCTTTGTCCCCTCCTTGCCTGAAAAGCACGCTCGTCAGCCTCGTTTAGCAGCAGTCGGTTCCATAAATGACAAAAATTGTGCCTATTAGGGCATCGGCACTAAAGTATTTATGAGACGCGATGAGGCCCCCAACCGAGTGGTAGTCGAATGAGTTAGCAATTACGGAAGACTGCTTTTCCTATGAAAGCTCCTCGAGTAATTCCGATGGAACGAGGCAATTTATAAATCCCCCATCTGCTCAAAAAAAAAAGGTGAAAATCGTGTCTGGGTCTCCGAGCATTCATCATTTTACTTCCTTTGTAATCAGGGCGTTTTCCCCACATTGATCGTTCGCATATCTGATCGCTACCGCCAGATGATGACGTCAGCATGTGCGATTTCTCGCTGCAAGGGACAAAGGCATCGAAGGAGATAAGAATCTCTTTCGCCACTTTCTTTGTCGGCACTTTTTTCCTCGGACCTCATCAGGAGAGGATGCATATTAATTTTGCATCTTCCTTTTTTAAGAAGGTGAGCCCAATATCGGAAAAAAAGCAACAACTCATGGATGAAGTCCAAGGCCATCCAGTATTTAAAAAAAAAGGGAACGAGAGCCCGAAAATGCAGGGAAAGAAAATATAAGAATCCACCTGAAAATCGTTTGCAAGGAAATGCAATAGTTGCAGACAGTGATACTCAAAACAATATGAGAGACTACCAATATTTCCGTATTTCCTTCTTCGATTTCCCCGAATCCACGCGTTGCCCCTCGAACCAAAGCAAAATGCGCTCCACGGTAGTCAAATATTCGGTATGACGGTATTCAATGACGGTATTCAGTGACGGTATTCAATGACGGTATTCGGTATGACGGTATTCAATGACGGTATTCAGTGATGGTATTCAGTGACGGTATTCAGTGACGGTATTCAGTGACGGTATTCAGTGACGGTATTCAATGACGGTATTCAGTGACGGTATTCAGTGACGGTATTCAGTGACGGTATTCGGTATGACGGTATTCGGTATGACGGTATTCAATGACGGTATTCAGTGACGGTATTCAGTGACGGTATTCGGTATGACGGTATTCGGTATGACGGTATTCGGTATGACGGTATTCAATGACGGTATTCAGTGATGGTATTCAGTGACGGTATTCAGTGACGGTACTCAATGACGGTATTCAATGGCTCACTCGTATTTAGGATGTCTGTCCATTATGCATGTGCAGCCAAGCCTTCTTTATCCTGCAACAGACATTAATATACGTTATCGTGGCAGGGTACAACCGGTGGCCTCCAATGCACTGACCGAGTGACGTCGATTTCACAAGAACAAAATTTCAGATGAAACATTTCAGGAAAGGGCCCTTTCATGAGAAGTACGATCGAAGACTAGCTCATGAAGTAAGTCCATTTCAACTTGTTATTGGTAAACCAAATCGTAAATTAAATCACAATTATGTAAATATTGTGCGTGATGCGGCTGCTTCTGATTCACACATAGATGATCTGGAAGCAATCTGAAAATCCTGACACTGTGACTCTCGATGACTCAGTAGAAGATGGAAGGTCCTGAGACTCACGGCTCGTGTCCAACCGATCGCAAACCCAGGTGCCTTCTTTCGCCTGGTCGGTGCGGCCGAACCAAATGAATCCGGCTGGTGCCGCCTTGAAGATCGGATCGTAATAAGTCTGGCTGCTTGCGAGTGGAAGGCGACATTTTGCATCTCGACATCTTGGTGACATTTTGCATCTTGACATCTTGGTGAGATTTTGCATATTGACGTCTTGGTGACATTTTGCATCTTGACATCTTGGTAACATTTTGCATCTTGAGGTCTTGGTGACATTTTGCATCTTGAGGTCTTGGTGACATTTTGCATCTTGACGTCTTGGTGACATTTTGCATCTTGACGTCTTGGTGACATTTTGCATCTTGATGTCTTGGTGACATTTTGCAACTCCATCGGCCCAGGAATACTTTCCGATATACTTGTAGTAGAATCC